TCCAATAAGTGTCTCCGACCACGTGGGACCTTTGCTGCGGAAGATGTTTCCAAAATGCGATGTTGCGAAGCGCTACGGCTGTGCTAGAACTAAGACTACAATGATTGTCGGCGAAGTGGCAGGCCATGCACAAGTGTGTGTGTGGTGAGTGCCTTGAAAAGACGAGTTTTTGCGGTTGCCACTGACGGCTCGAACGACAGCCAGGCACAGCTGTACCCCATTGTGGCCATCTTTGCAGAAGAATCGGGCCTTATCGAGAGCAAACTGCTTACTTTAAGCACCCTGGAAGGCCCTTCAATGGGGCGGAACATCGCCAAGTTAATTATGGACAGTTTTGCATCATTGAATGTGCCATTGTCTAATTGCATAGCTTTTTACTGTGACAGTGCCAACGTGATAATGGGCAATAAGAATGGCGTAGCGGCAGCGCTAACCGAGGCCCATGAAAGCATTGTGAAAATTGGATGCCCATGCCATTTAATAAACATAGCGGCTGAAAAGGCAGCTTCTTGTCTCCCAGCGAAGGTGGACGAAGTCCTTGTGGACATTTTTTATTATTTAGAAGGAAGTGCTAAAAGAAAAAGTTCGCTTAAAGAGTTTCACGAACTGCACAATAAAGAGTTTCGCAAGATTCTAAAGCACGTTCCAACCAGATGGCTTTCACTGGGAAAATGCCTGGAAAGGTTCCTATATCAGTGGGCACCGCTCTTGAGTTTTTTCCTTCAAGAAGTGAAAAGAGATGCCACTACAGGGTCCCAATTTCTGACCTACTACGACATTCCCACCACTTCTAAAGCAGCACAATTACATCTGTTTGATAGACTACCATAGCAGAAATGTGCAAAAGGATGACCAAGACTTGGTAATTGGACACCAAGCTAAGTGTGTTATTGAAAAGCTCAAGCCAAGTGACAGAAAGGAATTTTTTGAGGCTGTTAGAAGGTACATGGTTGTTTCATGTGACTACATGTGCCTCAAATTTCCTTTTAGAAACGAGGCTTTGATCAATGCACGTGTTGCGGATATTGAAGCTATGGATAACAATCATTTAAGAATGTCCTTTTCTTTGTTGAGCGGTTTCCAGCATTTTTGCCACAAAATGAGCAAGAGACCAGAGATCGAGCTATTAATGCACTGGAAATAGAATTCGTGAAGATGCAGTCTTTCAAAATTCCTACAAATATACTGGAAGAGGAACGGGCCGATGTGCAGTGGAGAAAAATCTCGCTGCTGAAAGGCGAAGATGGACTTACGAAATTCAGTCGCATTGCTCAAGTGATGCTGGGAATCCTTTCAGTACCGCACAGCAATTCAGAATGTGAGCGGCAGTTCAGCATTGTGAGGAAGACTCGAACAGAGTTCCGCGCTTCCATGTCAGAAAAGACACTTGGGCAACTACTTCAGGCCAAATGTCATAGCCGCGGACTGTGTTATTGACAGGTATATTCTGAGGAGTTTTTGAAGAGGGCCAAATCTGCCACAACAAAAATTGGGCAGTAATGTAATTGCGAGTGACACAGCTTGGACCAGCAAGGCGCTAAGGTTGGACTCCACGTGCAGTTTCTCCGCGCAAAAAAAAACATTCTTTTGGCAAAGTGTTGGAGTGGCAGCGGTGAACTTTGTTATGCCCGACAGTGCTCGAGGACTTCTCGAAAAAGGTGGCTTCAGCCACGTCGAATATTTGATGGTGGTGATGACAGCGGGGTAGGTTGTTGGCGATTTACAAAAACTATACCATTATTGTGCCATGATAACTCCATAAAAATTCAATCTTGAAAAAAAGCGTGTTAAAAATTCCATCCCTCGTGACCCCCCCCCCCAGTTGCATCCCCCTAATGCCTGTGCTGCCAACCTGGCAGGTATGCATCGTTGCAAGCGCCTCGACGTTCGTCTGGCGGCTCTGTTGCTTGAAGTACTCTTCCAAGATATCTCCAGGGATTGCTTTTATGAGGACCTCGACGAGCATGGCGGCATAGGACAGCTCCGGGCATCCGAGCACCTTAAGTCCTCTTATTTTCATGTTGACGGTGTCCAACAACTTTACTGGCTTGAGCGTTCGCAGGTTCGCCAAGTATTGTTATTGGATGATCTTTTTGTTTCCAAAGCGGTTTTTCAGAAGGGTGATGGCGTCTTCGTATGTCGTCGATGGCCGTTGATATCAGCCTGTCCAATCACTAGGCTCTTCAAATAGTGGAACCGTTCGATGTTCGATACACTGCGGGTTTTGTGAACCGCGTACCCGAACATATCCCAGGAAGGTTGCCACTGCGTTGAGCTTTTGTTGAAGTGAAGCAGCTCAAGTTAAAGTAGACGAGAGCCGACGAGCCCGTGTCTCATCTGATCTCCAGAGACACACATTCCTGAAGTGGTGATACCTTCGCTCTCGATGTTGGTTGCCTCACTGTTGAGAATTCTCGATGTCGACCCCTTCAGCTCCTCCATGTGGTGACTCAGCAATGACACCGCAGCAGCAGCGTTGTTCTCATATTCTGCTAGGAGGGATAATCTTCTGCGGCTTAATCGTTGGTTAGGTGTGCTTCCAGCTCTAAGTTGAGCGCTCGCAGGCCTTCGTTGCATGCCTTTAGCCTGTCGTGCACCACACAAAGTTCCGATGGGGTGAACTGGTTGGTGGTCTATCAGTTGCCGTGCTTTGTTTCGTAAGTGCGTGTGCAGAGCTCGCTGAGTCGTTCGCTTGCCTGTGATGCGATACATCTTCATTGCGGCCCCGCCGCGGTGGTCTACTGGCTAAGGTACTCGGCTGCTAACCCGCAGGTCGTGTGATCGAATCCCGGCTGCGGCGGCTGCATTTTCGATGGAGGCGGAAATGTTGTAGGCCTGTGTGCTCAGATTTAGGTGCACGTTAAAGAACCCCAGGTGGTCGCAATTTCCAGAGCCCTCCACTACGGCGTCTCTCATAATCGTATGGTGGTTTTGGGACGTTAAACCCTACTTATCGATCATCTTCATTGCGGGCGAAGTCCTTGCATCGGGTCGCTTGAATCGCAAAGTCCCAGGTTTCTCGGCACTTTAAAATGTTTAAGAAAGGTGTCTTCGCCGGTAGAGTGGAGCAAAACAATGGCTTTATTCACTTGGAGAGATAAGATAACAAACACATTCATGACAAACAAAATGTTCGTTCAGCACACACCAGGCACGAGCTCTCCTCTTGTGCCCACTTCGTTGTCTTCTTGAATGAATATTCAACAGGGCTGAAGTAGTTAATGTGTAGGTATATTTATTGGGCTTTTTTTGCATGTTATGCGAAGACAAACTGTTTTTTCATTGTTTGAAACCATGCCTTACCTCTCACACCATGATTTTATGTTCTGAAAACTTATTTCAAGGTCTGGCTGGTTATGCACTGAAGATATTTCGTGAATTAAAACGGTCATCTGCAAACAGTCTTATCTGTGTACTAGGTATAACAACAAGGACAGCGTCATTTATATAAAGAAAAAGAATTGTTTTCAAATTTGCATGTTACACCGCAAATGTCGTCGAAAGACGATAGTCTTGCGTCTGGACAGAGTGAACAAAACGTTTGTTTGATGTTCTGTGCAATAAAATCGGTGAATGGTATTCTGGAGGCGCCGCGTTAGAGTGCCTCGAGCGTGTAGCGGAGGTGAACGAGCGCATCGAGGCACGTTAGACACAAGCGCCATCTGGCAGTTATCTTCGAAAACGAAGGCGTGCAGCCTGCGGAGAAAGATGCGCACCAGTTCGGAGGTGATAAGGTGTAGAATGCAAAGCGACGGGCAGGTGCCACCACTGTGACGTCGTAGTAAAGTGTTGGAAATACTCTTTTTGAGCATCGCGTTGCACTGTCAGCGCAGCGCGATAAACACTACATTCCTTAGAGTGTCTTGTGTATGCTTTTTCTAGTATAAAGGCAGACATACAAAACAACGAAGTGTTGTTGTGGCACCTCAGATATGCACAATAATTGCTTCTTAATTGACAATCGCGCAGCTATGAACGCTAAACCTTGAGCAATATTGGTGGGCGCTGCGGATGGGGTTAGCCGTTTGATGCAGTTCGAGGTATCGTTAGGGCAGACAAACAGACCAATGTACAGATAGACACAGACCAAAATTTTTTCGTCGAAGGTCCCCAAGAAAGACTATCGTCTTTAAAATAACAATGGCCCCAGAGCAGCCAATGTTACTGGAAGACAGCTTGAGTCTTTACTTTCAACTGACAAACTGCACCTGATTAGAAAGATAGGCTGCTATCCAAGAAACTGTAATGTTTGGAACATTGTAATCTTAAAGTTTCTGAATGACTGTATAATGAACTACTCTGTTGAATGCCTTACTGAAATCTAAAAAATGAGGCACACCCCTTTGCGACTGTCCCTGTTCGGTCTTTGTGTCCTTGTCTTTATTTGTGCACACTAGTTTACTTTGAAGCAACCCTATATCTTGATCATGTAATTGAGTGCAGTTTCAAGGAGTCCGTAGCTTGTGAATAATACAAGTGAATGCCCCCAGCATGACAACTGAATGCATGGGCACTTGATGTTTGGGTGTTGATCAATAAGTGTAGCTTCTCTAGGTTCCTGAGTTAGGCCAGCTATACTTCCACTCCTGTGTGCTCTCTCGCTATGACAAATTTTATAACGTGGTAGAAATATTAGGTCATCTGTAACCTGACTATGTAACCATGTCTTCATAATGATGTTTTACATGAGGGTCGTGTAGGAGCAACTGAATTGTGGGTGAAGTGGATTTGCAGTTTTGCATGTTTCATTGTACATGCCAGCATTATCGCAAGAACTAATGTCATGCCAACAATCTGGTTAGAATATTCAGAAAAAGGTTCCAGTACATCCAGGCGAAGGCAGTGCTGAATAATGTGCAAGTTTTAGCCAGGAATACACATTCACAAGGAAAAAGAAAGTGTGCTAGTGTTATGAAGCTGTAACAACTTAGTAGTTTTCTCTTTTGTGTTCCTTTAAATTGTGTGCAATATGTCACGTATGCACTTCTTGCTTTGTGTAGAGCTATCAAGTGAAGCAGAAGAGGCAGTGAATGATCTTTTGGAAATAATGACCGACCACAAGGTTTGTGATCTTTACCCTCATTGTTGCAGAAGAACTTTCATTCTGTGTGCGAAGATGGCTTATTTATTTAATATAACACGTGCATATATCATCTAAAGAAGTTTAGTGACATATAAAGATACGGCCTGTAATACTTAACTTTGTTGTTAAATGCAAAACATGAGTCAACAGGACATCCGCACTTGTTATCTTAAGGGGGAACATGGCATGTTGAGATATTTGCTGTATTTTATGTCCAACATGCAATAAAGCGACGTAAACTTTAGTTTTTCATGCTGATTTCAAATATGAAAATTTTCTTTTTGTCTGTGTAGACTTGTTTATGAGATACGCAAAATTGGTTTTCTATTGTTATTGGAGATTATAGGAAAAAGACGGTTCAGCAGAAAGTGTATTTTTGGCGCTGTTACTCTGGGGCAACAGCACCAAAACTATTTTTTGCTGCAAACACACCCTGCTGGGCGACACTTCTGGCACTATACGTAGTAAGAGACTGACACTACCAAGCATCTTGTGCTTTAAACAAATGTGTAGAGATACACGCATAGTCTTTTTGTAGTGTTTGTTGCAGCGTCTGACAGGTGGTAGACAAAGCTCCGCACACGGAAGCAAATTTATTCGACAACGCCTGCAACATCAATGCGGCATTTGTTGTACTTTAAATGGCTCAGAATGCATTGAGAATTCATGAGAATGCTGGTTAGTGTGGTCGCATGTTACATAAGAAAGAAAATCTTTATACCAAATGTGTTGTTGCTCACGAGCAACGTTGGGCATATATATGCGGGAGTATAAGCAGATATTGGAAGGTGTGGTTGTAGTAATTTACTGAGTGTAGAACTGCTATGTCTGCATGGATTGATGCCCTTTTTATTTTCAAAATATTAAATCTGAAAAGATAGTAAAAGAGAAAGTATGTTCTCTTGTTTAGCTTTGAAATATTTTTTCTAGGCTACCTGACTCATGGCCAGTCCCCCAGGACAGGTGTAAGCCAAAATTTTGCGATCTACATGTGCATCTCATTGTTGGATGGTGCAACGTGCATCTACACCTTATTCCAGGCCATTACTGCTGCAAAGCATTCCATGTGAAGTAGTACCATAGGTGCTCACAGTTGCTCAGGAGCTACGACTCGTTACACTCCCATAAATAATCATTTTCTGAAAGCGTTATTGGCAATTTTATTTCCTTATGCAGACCAGAGTTTTGTTGGGGAGTGAGAGAGAAAACTTTTTATTATGTAAATTCAAAGAAAATGGGGAGGTTTTCTATTCCAGGACACCTATGGCAACCTCTGCGACAGCCCAGGTCCGCTGAACGAGCGCCCAGCAGATCAGGGGGCGCTGTGCCTTCCCACTGCTCTGGTGGTATAGGTAGACCGAAGGATTGGATGGAGGGGAGGGAAGTAGGCGGCGCTGCACTCTACAGTAATGTGAAAAGTTGTGGAGATAGCCCCCAGAGCCTAATGGAAAAGAAGCAGCAACAGTTTGTGGCGGCGGGCAGTAGGTTCGACGACTCTCGACCTTTGGCCCCCTGTTTGTCACGCGTGGGACGTCGTCTTCCAAGTCTACATCTCTCTCTCATCCCCCATGATCATTCAAACAAACTTTTGGGTATCAGAGGGTTAATGAGATGTTGCATTAGGGGTGGAGTTTATGAAGTGAACCAAGATATTGATAATAGTGATTACATACTAAATTGGTAAGCTTTTTTAAGCAGTCCCTGGTTGAAGCTTCCCTTTCATATTATTAGAATGATTATATCCTAACCCTAGCAACATCAATTTTATGTAAAGTGGTACTCAAGCATATTCTACATATGGGTATTATAGCTCATTTGGCCCCGCCGCGGTGGTCTAGTGGCTAAGGTACTCGGCTGCTGACCCGCAGGTCGCGGGTTCAAATCCCGGCTGCGGCGGCTGCATTTCCGATGGAGGCGGAAATGTTGTAGGCCCGTGTGCTCAGATTTGGGTGCACGTTAAAGAACCCCAGGTGGTCGAAATTTCCGGAGCCCTCCACTACAGCGTCTCTTTTAAACATATGGTGGTGTTGGGACGTTAAACCCCACATATCAGTCAATTATAGCTCATTTGAATTCTAATTCTACAATTATGTCCTGCCAACACTCACTTCTTGTGAGATTTTTTTTTGTGTTACATATAGCAAAGGTTTCATTTTGATTTTTTTTCCGCTTTATAAAGTTTTTCCGAACTTTTTTTACTTGCCTTGTTACAGACGAAAAAACGTAATGCACCTTCCAATTCAGATGGAGAAGGTACATCAGGAGCAGGAGAAGGAGCAGCCAGCGGTACGTTTTCATGAAATCAAGCGACTATAATTCTGCAGTAAATTTGATTGGCCTAACTTTGCATGCTTTATTGTTATAGGTGCTGGACCTTCCAAAAAGAAAAAAACTCGAAAGGTATGAAATTGAAACATGGTTCTTAAGTTGTTTTTAACATTTGAAAAGATATACTGACCCGTGCTCAATTTCTTGCACAGACATCTGACGAGGATCCAAGAAAGAGCAAGTTTGAGCCCTATGCATACCTGCCATTGAACCGGAAGCAGTTAAACAAAAGGTGGGCTTGGGTAATCAGTTGTGTTGAACTTACTGAAGTGCTAAATGCATGCAATTGCAGTTCTGACAAATCTGGCATTAAATCTGAAGGGATGTGTCACACGTCAGCATCAAATACTTGTCTCCTTGATGCCCTGTCCATACCTATTGCTAAGTGCTTTTGTATATTTGCGATTTCATCCAGGTCCAAGAAGACATCTACAGCATTCAAAGGAGTGCTCTGAGAAGTGCAGACAGGCGGATGAAAAGGACAGAAGGCTAGAGCAAGCAGTGTCAAGAAAACAAATTTTTTTTAAATTTTAATTTATTTAGCAGTTTATTTATTGTACAAAAAGTTCAATAAAAACTTGTGTGTTTCAATTAGTGTCTGAATAGATGTGATGCAGTCAGCGTTTTATACTTGTCCTCTGCTTTTCTTCTATGGGCCTTCTATGGGCCTGAGGCCAAGGGGCTTCAGGCTCCTGCTATTAGGACAAAGACCTTTCCTTCTTTTTTTTTAATATTTAGATTTACACAGCAAATTAATGCCAGAAGGCTGAATTTTGTTTGAAAATGCATCCAGAAGACAATGTTCATTGAAGACCAACTTTTATTCAACAGTGCACAAGTCTGCAGAATGGACAACCTAAGGCTTGCAAATGTTCATTGTCAATATATTATTAGTGAAAGTTCAACTCTAGCAATGAATAAAACTAGAAAACTGGAACTGCCATTGCTCAAGCAGGCTGCTCCTCTGCTTCAGCGGAAAAGTCTGCTGGTAGAACCACACATGTTCATAGATATTGCAACCTCAACAGCCCTTGAAGGGGCATAAACTTTATTGTGGCAATCTTTTTGTTCCCGATGCTGAACTTGTTAATTATAGCCTTCGCAGAACGACAAGGCTGAGTTCCCTGACGCGGCTGTGTAAATCCATGCTTTCTGGATGAAAAGGACAGTGGCAGTTAGTCATATGAAGCCATATAGTAGCGAAGCCACAAGTGTGACGATTTCAGTGAATGAATTGCCTCCAATAAGAAACTGCTAGCTCGTCGAGAGCAGCAGTGAACCATTGAGACCAAAAATGCACAGAATGCCCCCATTGCTAGTTGTGGCACTAGAAGCCTCTATGCTTAGTGTGCTTTGCTGCAATTGAAATAGTGGTGCTACTTGCTAGCATGCATTACTTTATGACATTGCCATGAAAAGATGTGATCGAGACCACGAATGTACAGAATGCCTTTGTTACCTGTTCTGGCACGCCTCTGTGTTATCTATACGTGGCGACAACTTTTCTGGGCATTGGAGCGAAGGCTACAGAGCCAAATTGCTTAAATCCTACCGCCAGTGAATGTATAGGTTAGGTTATGTATAAAATTGAAACGTTTTTTGGCTTGCTTATGACATTTGAAAAACTATACTGACCTGTGCTCAATTTCATGCACAGACATCTGACCATATTTTCAACGTGATATATAAATGTTCCTCCTTTATTTTCTACAAGATGGGACGCAGCTCACACCAGTAAGATATTTTTGTAATTCTTTCGATTTAACAGTTGTGACTTAGCGTTTTTGAATGCGTGAGAAAGTCTCGCCTTTTTACGTGCATCTCAAACGCTAAGCGGCGTCTGCGCCTACATAAAACGCAGATGGTGCGCCCCCCTCACTTTCCGCAGCGTTACGAGAAGCGGGCCATAACGGACTACTTTGCGTAGTGCTAAGTGCTAAATGTGCAGAAGTTCCACCTCCATAGCTTTCCCTTTAGTGCCAAGAAAAGTTGTCACTAAGTGTAATGTATGTTTATTTGTAATGCTCAAAAATGACAAAATGTGGCTACTTGACCTTGCCTGTCTTGATCTAAGAAGCTGCACACAACCACAGCCATTTTTCTTTTTTCCGGTATTGCAATTTTCACACCAAAGACGGGGCAGCCAAAACGGCAATGCGGAAATTGAGGAAAACAACCTCTCTAGGTGGCAAAAACTGGAGGAAAACCAGGTGGCAAGGCTGATTATTCCACGACCAATTTTTTGCGGCTCGCCGCTTTGCCGCAGCGAATCGGAATGCCGTGCGGTGATTGAGGCATGGCAAGCAGTTGTAATTGCGTTACAATTTTGATCCTTAAAAAAAAGCATTGCCACGTGACAGCAATGTATGTGCAAAAGCGCAAGATGCCCGCCTCTTCTGCCGGGCGACCAGTCGAAAGACATGCGGTCTGAACAGGTCTGAACATGCGGCGAATATAGTCTGCCCTTGACTTTCGCTCTTGCAGAGGATCACTGCTCACGCCACAACGCCAGCGAGCGCACGATGGATCTACCAGTTTTATCGCACATACCATGCACACACGCACGCAGAAGTAAAGGTTATGTCTCCACAAAATAGCGCACCGCGAACCCTTGAGGTGCTGTCGCTGCCACTGCGCGTGCGTCTTGAAAGGTAACCTTGATTGATCTGCAATCAATGTTCCACTACCCAGAATTGTACTATTGTTCCACTGCAACAATTAACGCAGTGGGCCTTTTCTGGGTCTGCAAAGCACCTCGAGTAGAGATACCAACAATTGAAACTGGTGGCCCTTGGCCTCCGAAATTTTCCACAACGCGTTGGTAGGACATCGACCTGCCTTGAGCAGAAGCATTTGCAAGTTTGTGACACAAGATGTCTTTTGGTCTACATTTGTCGCGATTCAGCCACTAAAACTTATGACGCGTGCCTTGTCGACGTCAACGCCCAGACTACCTATCTGAAAAAGGCCCATGAGAGTTTCAAAAATTGTCACTATAGCTCAGGCCAGCCTCTCTACCTTTCTGTAAATAAATTCTCTCTTTTTCTCATCACAATGATGGATCTCCCCCCAGCAAGGATTGCTAGCTTATGAAAAGCAGTGGTTACATAGATACTTGCAAGAGCTGTCGAGACCTAAAAAGCACAGAATGCCCTTGTTCCTTGTCCTGGCACTGAAAGACCCTGTGCTTGGTACTTTTTGTGGTATTGTGATGCTCAAGTGTGAATATCACAATTGTCCTTTGTCAATTAGTGGCGCTCCGAAACGACCAAATGTGTCCTGGGAATGGCCTCAACTTAAGAAGCTATACAGAAATATGGCTATTTTAATTTTTTCTGGTATTGATGCTCAAAAGTAAGAGCAACAATCAAAGGGGAGGGAGCTTGATTTATGTTCCACTACCCAGAACCACACAATAGTGGCTCTGTCACACTTAATAGCAGTGAAAGCACATGAGTTGCGGACACTGTCATCCTGAGGAAGCACAAAGGTACTTCACAGGTTCGCAAGTTGCCAGCAAGCAGTGAACAAGAAATAGCAACTATGACAGCATGGCAAATGGTAGTAACAACCATACTTTGTGTACAAGCCACAGGCCAGCTACAATTCAGCTCCGTAAGGCCTGCAATCGCTCTTGCATCTTGGTCACGTCATCTTCGTCTTCTGCTACAGCAGATGACGGACCAGCTTCTTGGATGTCTTCCGATGGTAAGGACTCTGTGACTGCAGTTGGGGCCTTGCCGAGCTGACCTGAGAAAACATTGCCGTATATAGACGAGTTTTACTACATCTACGTCTGCGAGCATTGGAAGCTAACATGAGTTTACTCTGAAGAGGGTAGTTTCATCTTAGACATTTTTTTTTTTGTTTTATTCCTCCAGTCATTTTGAGCACAGACTTGTGCAGTTTTCTTTCTGCAGATTTCAATTAATTTCTTTTCCTGTAACTCATCTTGTTTGTGGTATAAGTTAACCCTCTATTGTAAGGCTGTCATATATAAAGTGCTTAAATAAAAGTGATATTTAAGATATGGCAACTAGACTAACGACTCGAGATTGAAAGTATGCAAAAGTTTTTTGCTTCTTGGCCTAACCGCAGAGATATTGAGGCCTGAAAATTGAACAGACAAATTTGCTTTTTTGAGAAAAATATGCTGTGTTGTTTGCAAAACACGGCAACCGCAGTGTGCATGTCTTGCAATGCTCATAGAGGCACTCATAAATTGGTAGCAGAGCTTCGAACACAGGTGCTGGCAAATTGTACAGAAGCCTCAAGTAGGCTTCCCATTTTTTGCAGGTTGTGCATTTTAGTAGCACCAAGAATCCGGAAAAATACTTTCAGAAACCAAATACATCATTTTTATTTTTTGACAATTATGCAGTCCTAATTAACAACCCACCCCCTTGATGGAGGCAGACTCCAGTGATTTTTTTAAGCTCTATGGATCTCTGTGAAATTCACTGGCATTCCCTTTGCAAATTTTTGTCATTTATACATAATTACAGGTTTGAGGAATGTGCACATTGCTTCCAATGAATTAATTACCTCAAGCTGTTCTATTTTCTCCCCACAATGACATTTCACACTCTGTGTGATGTTAGCCTTGGCAAAGCAATTGAAGAGATGGAAGAGCCGGTAGACATGTTAGAGAATGCAGCGTTCTAACTGCCGCAGTGATATTGCTAACAGGTGCAACCTTGAGGAAGCTGCTGTGGTCGTATGATACCATGGCTTCTAGTTCTCCATATAGATGTGCAAAATTAGAGGCTATGGATACATCAGTGTACATGATGCGAAGTCCCGTTAGGCGCAATCATGAATTTACCAATGACCAGAAATGTTCATCTGACCACAGCCATGTTAGCATATGGCTATGCGACAGTAGCCGATGTCGACTTTCATAAGACGTGAAGAGACTAGCCATACTCGGTCATAGTGGTAACAAGTTAGCAGCTACAGTGAGCTCTCACCTGTACGAACATCAGTTTCACGAATACTTCAGAATAATGAACTTTTGCAAAATCCCCAGTGGTTTTATTATGCATTCTATGCAAAAAACTTTCAAGTTGAACAAACTTCTGAATAGTTAGTATTTTAGCTGAACTTGATTTGTGGATCCAGACTCATTTTTTATATCAACCAACAAATTTTTGCACTACACAGCACTGGTGTAGCCAATGCGTCCCACCCTCAACTAAATCCCCTATGCATTGGCGGCAGTGGAGCATTGCTTGTGTATGCAGAACCGCCGTGGCAAGGCGGCCGTGCGGGAGTGTAAAACAAGCCACATACGCATCAGTATCTGTGCACAGCTCAGATCAGGAAATTGTTTCCGGTGTTTGTCCGAAACCGAAATAAGAGTGTGACAAATAAGTTGTAATGGCTGAGGTAGGACCAAATCCTGTAAGCAAAGGCTGTAGGATATATTGGAAAGTTGAGAGACTTCATGTCAGCAACAAGCCGTGCCAGAGACAGTGAACAAAAACGTACTTTTCTTGTGCTTTAAGGGCACTAGTCCGAATGAATATTACATGATTATTTCCAAAATAAATTGAATTTCACATGTTTGACTTCATTTCTGCTGTGCATCATGCAGCTCACTTAAGTAAACTATTCCCATGGATCGCTTGAAGTTCACTCAAGTGAGAGTTCTCTCAACTGAACAAACGTTCATTTAACAAATATTGCAGAATAATGAACTTCCAGAAAATCTCTGCCGGTTCTCTTATGCATTCCATACAAATATCTTTCAGTTAAACTTCTGAATAGCGGATATTTCAGGTGAACGAAGTTGATTTATGAACCCGGGCTTATTTTTGTGATCAATTAAGTTTCGCGGTATTCAGCACTGCATAGCCTATGCGTGCCGCCTTCAAATCGCTTGGACATTGGCGGTGGTGCACCAACGCTTCTGCATGCAGCGCCACTGAGGCAGGGCAAGAGACGAAAATGAGCCACGTGTGCTTCAGTACTTACACAGAGTGGTCAGACTTGGAAATCATTTCTCATGTTTATCCCAAACCGAAAGGAATGCGACGAAGTTGTAATAGCTGAGCCAGGTTCAAATCTTTTACCTCCAGCTAAGGCTATTAGACATATTACAATGGACATATTACAAAGAGGAGAGACCTCACGTCACAGCAACCTCTGCAGGAGGCAGCATACAGAAGTGTAGGATCTCTGGACAGCTTTGCTTCTTGCGATTTAAGGTCACCAGTGCAAACGAAAACTGCAGATTTATTTCCAAAATAAATTGCATTTCACACGTCTGACTTTTTTTTCGGCTGTGGCCAATGTTATTTCGTATTCCAGTATATATTCAGTAAGGTGAACTTTCAGTAAAGTGAACTACTTTTTTTAATCCCTTGAAGTTCACTCAGTTAAGAGTTCACAATATCGCCTTTTCTTGTAAGTTCATTCCATCATTATTCATGAGTCATAGTTCCAGAGTTAATACACGTTAAGCAAATCAAGTACATTACAAGGGTGCTGACAAAAATTTTCGAAGCTGAGTTTATTGCACCATAAAAATTTCCTATATCTATGGCAAGTGCAAAGCTTAGTAAATACTGGTATTTTATTTTAACATTAAAAACACTCACATGGTGCACCTAATGACATTAACACTAGCGTAAGGTGGCTACAGTATCGATTCTGGTGGCTTCACGCAACAGTATGGCTAGTTGTCAGGACTTGAGGTACAAATTTAAAATGGTTGCTTACGCATGTGTTGCCAATGAAGTAGACTGGCTGTGGACATGCTACGATATCTTGCGCGAGCATGTGGTAAGCTGTTTTTTCTCTGGACTTACACTTACCAGCACATTTTCTATGCTACTCAGTGCTTGGATATTCATTACACACAAACAGACAATGAAAATTTTAGTGTCGGTACCTCTTTAATACTGCCTACCACTACAGCTTGATACCATTTAATTTAACAATACAAGCTAGAAAGTGGCGGTGCGATTAAATAGCGCTTTCGACTTTACAAGTGTAGCAGTTCGCATGATCAGCACATCACTTCCCTTGCTAGTGAAGGCACGCTACAAAGCCTCAAATGCACTAAATTATCCAAAAATCCCATCATGGATAGACTGGAATGCCTCGCATTTAAGGTTTTGTATGGCATAAAATGCTGCCGCTTTCTGCTGCCTACACGCTGATGTGGTACGAGTGAAATGTGGCACCTGGAAATGCAGAACTTTAGCCTAACTCTCATGATGCTTGGAATATGAAATTTACCTGGTAACCTGAATTTGCATGCATTCTCACAGTTCCCTTTGCTCTTGTAGGCCTCTTTAAATTTAGCTTCTAATCCGGAATCTGCCACTATGGTTCACTTGATCACAAGGCAGTGATTTTGGCACGTGAAGCCATACAAGTTTAAATGGTGCAAGAACTTGTCACTCATGTTACAATATTTTAGTAACATCCAATGGCTTAAACAGTACCAACCTGCGGTCAGCTCCCACAAGACTTTGTCGACTTCCTCCTGTGCCTCTTCTTCCAAGTCATCCTGGTCATCAAGGCCTTCCATGGTATCATCCAACATTTCTTCTATTATTCCTGCCTGAGTTAACAAACTTAATGAATAAACAGCTGCACAGAAGTAACGAGGACAAGAAAGAAATACTTACAAATAGACAGGTACAAGTTAAAGCAAAATTAGGGCATTATGGAAAGTTGGTAGGCAATCCTTTTTAGGCTACTGTATGGAAACAGATGAATATTGTGGTTTCATCATCACGATGATCAGCCTATTTTATGTCCACTGCAGGACAACAACCTTCCCCTACGATCTCCAATTTACCCTGTCCTGTTACAGCCAATTCCATTTTATGTGGTTTAGGCTGCTGAAGAAATATAATATACTTGGTTTTTAAGAAAAAATGTGAGCTGCATCCACAGCCATCACTGTCCTTCCCTACCAGAATTTGCATCAGCGCTCTGTCTGACTAATTCTTGTGACGTCAAGCACCTGTCAACTGCCTTTGCCATACAGACCCATGTTTGTGTTACTGATTTTACACCATTAATTGATTGATTTGTGGGGTTTAACGTCCCAAAACTACCATTTGATTATGAGAGACGCCGTAGTGGAGGGCTCCAGAAATTTTGATTACCTGGGGTTCTTTAACGTGCACCTAAATCTGAGCACACGGGCCTACAACATTTCCGCCTCCATCGGAAATGCAGCCGCCACAGCCGGGATTCGATCCCGCGACATGCGGGTCAGCAGCCGAGTACCTTAGCCACTAGACCACCGTGGCGGGGCCTGGTTTTACACCAGAAGCTTGGGGAACATTCTAGTAAACCTCGTCAAGGACTCTAGCATTTCTTCTCAGCCAAACTCAATGCTTTAGTTAGTTAGGCCCAACCATTAAATTTTCATATGCATAGTCAAGAAAAGGTACTAACAGTTCGAGCGAAAACCAAGTAGCACGACTTGTATTTTACAGGTGAATGATAGCTGCCTCGTGGTTTTGTGGGCGATGACATTTTTTATTGGTTGTACCTGAGGATGGCATCCCTTATCAGGCGTGAACATTCTTGTCCAGAGCGTTTGCTTATGGCAGTCAAGAGATAGGTTTGGGCTGGTGGTTACATACACCAAAGTTCTGAGATAGTCCTTTAATAGACTTTTATGTGTTGACATGCGTCCATCAGTGCATCTGGTATTGCAGATGAGCTGCCAGCGCTTATCTCAACAAGACGTTTAATGACTACACTCACTCGCATCATTTCCTTCGACAGGTCTCGCATCGTCTGTGCTACTTCGGGCACTTTGATCAACTGCTGCATGCTCTTCATAACCTCGGTGCTTCTTTGCATTGAGCCGGCCAACCGAAGGGTAGCTGCAAACAATGTTTTACGGCGCTTACGGGCTGTAAACATACAAGTATTTAGGTGAAGAATCGATGATCCGACTTACCAAGCTGATGGTTCATGCTCATCACGACTGAGTTTAGCTGTGCCTTGGAAGCGTGGATGCGATTGATAGCCTTGCGAGCACGAAGCACCTCCTTAGCAAGTATGAGACAAACCTCCTTGTCATTCTTTTTCGCCGCCTCTTTCAAAGACCTCTTGACACCTTCTTCTTGTCTCTGAATAGCTGTCGAAACAGGTGACAATCACAAGTTACAAATACTACTATAGCCTCCTTGACAAACAACAATATTTTTATGCCACAGTCCTGACACATATACCTCTGATCTGGCGATCCAGCTGGTAACCTTCTTTTCTCAGCTTTGAAGTCCATTCTCGCACCTGGAACGATAAACGTCAACGCTGAGATGACCACTCCCTGAGCGGCGTGCGTGCTTTAAACTTGTACTTTATCGGTACCTGTTCTTTCGGCGATCGCTCTGGCGTTTTTCCAAACAGTCCCATTAGGTACTTCGAACAGCTTAATTTCGAGGCGTTCACATGGACATTTCAAAGTCTGGCTGCATAAGCTATAATTCCGTGTAGTTCACTCCGAAGCTGAGAACTTCGGCAGCAATCACAAAACAGGAAGTAGTTCTATTATAGAGTAATGTATAAAAGGTTACCACAGAACACCTACTAGTTTACTCTATGTTCTCTCTATGCATGGACAATACCTCCTAAAAAAATTATGCCTGAAACGTGAGTGCGCGAACGTGCCGCCCTACCCTCGGATTTTACCCTCTTCCTCCGGTACGGAGGTGAATGCCTGTGGCGGTCGCCTCCTGTGAACACAGCGAAGCTCTGACAGTTGCCTCCGAGCAGCTGTGATATCATGTGACAGAGCGGTACGGAGGCAAGCGGTCCTACGCGGCGGATGGTCGCAACACGTGGTAGGAGGCGTGGCCTCCAAGATTTTGTGCTAGCAGCAAGCTCTCAATTGAAAAGAGAGCCACGTTCTAGGCATACTTCTTCTAGAAGGCGTTGGCATGGAAGAGTATATTACTCTATGGTTCTTCCTCCGTGCTATGGTTTTATGCCGAAATCAATTTGGTCGTGGATGGATGAATTAATATGGATGTACCCTTTAGATTGGGCGGCTGCTAACGTCATCTAGCCGGAATACCACGGAGGAAGGAAATAGTTGTGAGTGGCTGCCTACAACGATTATAGATACTTTGCCTGCCTAGTCGTGTGTGTGCGTGTGTGTGTGTATGGGTGCGCGTTGGAGCGCACAACATTTTGTCCTTTGGCGCTGCGAGCGCCTGCCCTGTGTCAAAAAGAGATTAGGGCCACCTACTCACTTACTGAAACAACAACTAGATTTATCTTTTTTTCCCCTTAAAATAGTGAAGGACTGGAACTTTGCAGTGAATACAAAACGACGACACAGAGAGTAGAAGGACACGAGAGCTAGTGTCCTTCGTGTCCTTCTTGTCTCTGTGTCGTCGTTCTGTCATCATGTAATACCAAATAGCCCAAGCTGCCACACTTCTAAATTTGCAGTGAAGGATTTAATATTCACTCATGCCTTGATTGTAGCCACCAATCAGATAACCTCCTCCTAGTTATTTCTACCCGCTTAAACTCTATTTTGCCATCGCTGTCCCTATACCCCAGTGCTTTGAAAAACTCTGTGCCATCATCCTGAACTATAGAGTGAAGCCCTTTACAGAACATTATCAAGTGTTCGGCAGTTTCCTCCTCCTCTCCACACGCACTGCATACCGTGTCTACCCCTTCGTATATGGCCCGATATGTCTTGGTTCGCAATACTCCCGTCCTGGCCTCAAGCAGTATAGAACTACGCCGAGTATTATCATAGATTCTTTTCTTGGCGATTTCCTGCCTAAAAGTTCGACAGATCTCTATTGCAGACTTCTTAATCATGCCGATTCTCCACATGTCGGTTACCGTTTTCTTCGCCTTCTTCTTAACCGATAGTTCTTTTTTGTTTGGCCCCTTGATCGTTTCTAAGTATTTACCCGTCAATTTTCCGGTTTGCTTCCTTTACTTTGTATCGACATTCCTCATGTACAAGAAGATGCGTGACCACAGAACACCTGGTTTGACTGTCAGGTGACCTATAGTCACTGGTTATAGCAAAATAGCCATGAGGTTTTATTGTATAGAACTTTATCACAATAGCTCTCCGCTTTCTCAACTTTCCTTTTTTCTTGCATTTTTGCTAGATGTCAAAGCATGTTTACCGATGCTTTAGTATTCGCCAAATACACTATATAATTATTTATATTATTTATATATAATTTTTTGTGACTGCTGAACTTTTTATAAAAATATAATGGTTTGTTATTTCAGATAGTTGAATAATTAACAAATAATAAATGCCTGTGAGGCATGTACTATAAAGGTTTCCGAAATTAGCTAAAAAATTTATGGCAATTAGTGCTGTCACCTCGCGGCATTTGTTGGCGTCTCACTGGTCTGCTGCATCCGGTTATTAATATCACGTAGTGCACGTGCGTCTGTGGAATGTGCCAGGTTCTTAGTGTGTACTGCCACTTCTGGGAAAAGGTAAAACTTTCATAAGTCCTTGTTTGGTTTTGACGATTGTTATAGCGCGAGACAGAACGACGACAAAGGACCTGTCCCTTTGTCGTCGTTCTGCTCTCGCGCTACTACTATCACGTAGTAGTGCACGTGCGTGTGTGGAATGTGCCAGGTTCTTTGTGTGTACTGCCATTTCTGGGAAAAGGTAATTAGTCCTTGATCGGTTTTGACGATTGTTATAGCGCAAGAGCAGAACGACGACAAAGGGACAGGTCCTTTGTCGTCGTTCTGCTATGTCATACCAACAATCATGTCATACCAACTAGCCCAAACCGCCACGCTTCTCGTTCGGTGTCGCATAAATCTGTTATCACACTTCAGGGTATTCGCCCCCGCAGTTGCAGCTTTCTCAAATGGTTCTAGTGTAAAACACTGTGCTTCTGTGGTTTGTTGACACAGCAGAAGTTGGTGCCTGCCCCTTTTCGCTGTACGTTCCATTCTGCAAATAACAGATCGGACTTGATCGCGCCTCGATAGTAGGGAATTCTCGCGTTGCGATACATCGTTGTCTTCGAAGTATAGAATGCCTCCCTACCGAGCAACTGCGCGCTGATCTAGTTCCTCCGTGATTCGGGCAACTCGGGCTCATCACGGATGCTGGCCGAGAACCGCGAAATTGCAGATGCGAAATTGCAGATGCGAAGTTACAGAACGTGCTACAGATGCTTTCAAAATAATTTGGAACACCGGACGTGCAGCCGCTCATCTGCGGAGCGTGCACGTAGATTTACGTCGCTTTGATATAAAATGGTAGCGCTTTGATAAGGGGGGTGGTAGGCGTCTGTGACAAGCTGTGTTTGCGCATGCATCGCGTTCGAGCTTAAGTCTTCGTGCATGCATGCGTGTTCTTGTGCTTCGGTGTTCGCTTCCTCTGTTACGTTGGACAGTATTTATCGTTGGAACTGTCGATGGTGCCGGGAAAGCAGGCTGCGCGAGATGCGGCCGGCACTTCGTTTCCAATGGTTGGCTGCATTCATGTGACCAAACTGCCGGTATTTTCTACTACAGTGGGGTACCGCCGGCAGCCGGCACAGTAGACCACGGGGAAGTTTGCCGGCGCTGTAGACCATGTGGAGACTTGCCGGAAGCTGGCAAAGGCACTTCCTAGGAGATGTGTGTTAGCACTGATGAATTCACAAGATTTTATTCTATACTGGTTGACATTCTTAGGTTTGCAGTAGGCCGTTGTGTACTCTTTTCAATGCTATTTACTAAGCACCACACAGAGATTTATCCTACAAAAATGCAGCGTAGAACTCTGTTTTCATCTCTCTAGCTTCCCATCCTCACTATTTTACTCCCCCGTCCCCCTCCCCAGTGTACAGTTGCAGGCCAGAGCGAACGGCAGCTCAGGCCCACCTCTCTTTCTTTCTGTAAATAAATGCTCTCTTTCTCTTAACTTTCTCATCTTCATGGTAATGGTATGTAGTACAAACTTAGAACAAAGGGGAATTGCTTTTCGTGGCTAAGTCTACCTTGATGTGCATTTGGGTTCCCTTCCTGCTTATGACAGTGAATACATAGCACCCTTAAAGTATTAGATTCAGCACTTGATTGACTTGTGTTCTGTCCTATAATTTACTTGAAGGTAATGTTTTGTTTGTCCACAGGACACAAGTAGTATTGCCCCGCCGCAGTGGTCTAGTGGCTAAGGTACTCGGCTGCTGACCCGCAGGGCGCGGGTTCGAATCCCGGCTGCGGCGGCTGCATTTCCGATGGAGGCGGAAATGTTGTAGGCCCGTGTGCTCAGATTTGGGTGCACGTTAAAGAACCCCAGGTGGTCTAAATTTCCGGAGCCCTCCACTACGGCGTCTCTCATAATCATATAGTGGTTTTGGGACGTTAAACCCCACATATCAATCAATCAATCACAAGTACCGTATTTTTCGGTGTATAAGTCGCGGTTTTTTTCTGAATTTTTCGTCGGTGCGACTTATACAACGGTGCGACTTATATACAGTCTAAATCGGATCAGATGCCGTGAATTAGGGCCGTTTCACATGACACAAAAGTAGCGATTTTCAGTCCGTGAATTCGCTCGCAGCGAAAAAAAGGCGCCAGTTCGCTCCCACCGCAGCGGTCCGTGGCGAGCTTCCAACATGTTGGAAGTTTTCGCTCTGATCGCAGCGGCGGGAGCGATTTTTGTTCGGGACCCGTCGAAATAGGGCCAGGCCCGTCAAGCCGTCGAAATAGCGTCGACGTGTTTGTTTTAGCAAAGATTGGAAAGTGCTCTTCGTTACCGTTCATAGAAGCTTAATAATATCGTAACGTACAGATTTTTATATTTGAAACATTCCAGTGTCTGCCACAACAAACGGTGGCAAGAAACGTTTCTCGCCGCTCCAGTCGCAGAGCGAATATCGTGGACCGTTCGCGGTCTATGTCAAACGAAACCGCCATTAGCGGCGGCTGCGAATAGAGTGATTGAAGCGAACGGAACGATTTTTTTTTTTTCGCTGCAATTGCGGCATGTGAAATAGCCTTAAGGCGGCCTGGACATTGCGGCCACGCTTTCTCCGTCGGGCAGTTCGCCGTGCGCTCCCTTTTGTCATGCACGGAAACCACATTTCAGAAAAAAATAAAAAGAGTGGTAAATTACCTCCCTAGAAATAATAGTGCTTATATAGTTTTGCACAGAAAATAAATAATCATTGAGGGGCGAAAAAAAGTAGAGGTACTTAACGAAATTATAAATAATGGAAGGCAAGTTCGCATTTCGGACAAGAGCCGCTGGAGCCGCTTCGGTTGCCATCACTTCCGCCCGCTCGCCCGCCGCAGCAGTCGCACTTGCTGCCATTGTGCATGGTCAGGTGTTCTGTGGCATGGTAGCATAGGCGTAGCGGCGTTGTTGCAGCGTCCTCGTTAACCATGGCGCCACATGGAAAGCAAAGTCGGCGAAGTTTTGATGCGAAGTTCAAGCTGCGTGCAGTTGAATTTGCAGAACAACACGGAAATCGTGCTGCAGGAAGAGAATTCGATGTCGCCGAAAAAGTAATCCGGGACTGGCGCAAGGCTCACAGCGTCCTCCGGACAATGAAGTCTACTAAGAAGGCCAACCGCGGCAAGAAGGCACGCTGGCCGGACCTTGAGCGTAGCCTGCGAACGTGGGTGCTACAACAGCGAGCCGAAGGGAGAGGCCTGTCTACAGTGCAGCTGCGCCTGAAGGCGAAGGCTTTGGCAGCGGAGACCAACACTGAGGGATTCAGTGGTGGTCCATCGTGGTGTTTCC